TATATTATGTCTTTATATTACATATATTATGTCTTTATATCACATATGTTTTGTCAGCATATCAGCATATCCTCAGCATATCGTCCACATCATTCATTATGATTTCTTACTAAAAGTTACTTCTCATCTTTTGTTCGTTTTCATACTAATGTCCTGCAACACTCTGAATATGTCGAGAGTATATAGAGTCTTTTCAAAATAAACAATAATTACGTCATTCAACTTGACGGGTCAGAGACGGCGATTCGCTGGATGAGGATCAGTGAGTTCATGATTCAGTCATTCACTTGAGCACAAAGTTGTTCGTAGATGAAGCTTCTTAGTTTTGCTCTCAAACGTTAAAATGTACAAAGCGTTGTTCCAGAGGAGCCTCTGGGTCCACCAGAGGGGGATAATTACTGGTTGTTTTCAGTTCACATGATACATCTCACAACGTTAATAAATAATAAATATAAATGTCATTCAGCCTTCAATGAAACATGTTTTCATCTAACAGAAAAGAGAAGAACTGACCTGCAGGTTAGCACAGGTAGAGAACAAACAGGCGCTGTCCAGGGGTTTGATGGCGTCGCCGTGTAGAGAGGGGGCGGGTTTAGAGATGATTGGTGGCCGGGCGGGGGGGAAGAAGGTAGATGATGGCTCGGTCACCAGAAGAGTTCCTCCCTCTGCCCCGTAACCAAACGACTGGATGGCGTTTTCTGTGGAACAAGAGAGAAACATGAGGAAGACAACTCATCTCACTTCCTGTCATTTACTGGAGGAGTAATCTCTATCTGAAGCACTTTATCACACGTTAAAAAGGGTTTTCTGTTCATCGTCTTATGTGTCTTCTACTCCCATTCAAACGTTTCATGCTGCTCACAGAATAGGTGAGCAAAGATCAATCTAAAATACGTCCAAATATGTGGAATGTCTGCTGGACGTCCTCAGGTCTGTTTTTATCTGTAACAGGGAGTCAAAGGGACTCACCGTCTAAAGCAACTTATATTTCATCCTTACTGACCGCCAGAGGCAGAGCTTCACACCGGATATCTACCAGTCTTTAAATCAACAGTCACGTGTGACCTCGGATTGGATTGGTTTCGGTGTTATCCCTGAGATCACTCTTTTTCATCTTCTCGCTTACTCAGGCTAACTACCATGGTTGCATTTGCTTAAGCTACATTTGTCTACGATTAAAGATTCTTGGAGCTCGTCGCTTGTAGCCAAACTGTCCCTCTTATGAGAAGCATCAATCGGTGAGATCGATTAACATCGTTTCCATAACATTAGAGTTACTGTTTGTTCGTTTTCTACGGTTGGCAGAGCGCTTTAGCTCGAGCTAATTGAGTGGCGTGCTAACGAGAGCGTGTCTGCTCGCCGTTGGCTAGATTAAAGACGTACCGCGTCAGTGAGAGAGAGTTCCTGCTCAGGTTAACTTGTTAGAATAAGTTGATATTGAGATTGTGTACATTTACTTTAGCAGAGTGTCCTCCCTCAGGTTAACTTGGTGAAACACCGATATTTACAGGGACCATCCGAGTGAAGACAGCATCCTCGCTCCCCTCTCACCGGAACTTATACCCGGCTGAGGTCTTCCGGGGTCACACGTGACTTTGTTGATATAAAGGCTCGACCTGCGTGTGAGGGTATCCAGTGTGAAGCTCTGCCTTCAGCGGTCATCCAGGATTCATAGAACCGTAGTTACATCCGTAACTTTAGCTTTAAAAGAATAATAATAATAATAATAAATCAATTTTATATAGCGCTTTTCAAGATACCCAAAGACGCTTTACAAGGCAGAGACAAACAGAACAAACAAACAAACAAAAAAAAACTAATAAACTAAAAAAGAATGACTGGAGAAGCTATGCTGAATGGGTCATGTAAAGGAGGGTAGGGTGCAGGGGTTAGCAGGTGAAGGCGAGTTTGAAGAGGTGGGTTTTGAGGGCTTGTTTGAATGATGATAGGGAGGGAGCCTCACGGATGTGGATGGGGAGGGCGTTCCAGAGGGGAGGTGCAGCAGCTGAGAAGGCCCTGTCACCCCAGGTCCGGCGCTTGGTTCTGATGGTCTTCAGAGTGTTTGCACCGGCGGATCTGAGGCAACGGGTTTGGGCGTGGAGGGGGAGGAGGTCTGAAAGGTAGGGAGGGGCCAGGTTGTTTAGGGCTTTGTAGGTGGTGAGTAGTATTTTGAAGTCGAGTCTGTATTTGACCAGGAGCCAGTGGAGGTCGTGAAGGACCTGGGTGATGTGTTCATAGCGGCGGGTGGAAGTGAGCAGTCGCGCGGCAGAGTTCTGAACATATTGGAGTTTATTGAGGACTTTGTTGGCAGAACCATAGAGGATGCTGTTGCAGTAGTCGAGTCTGGAGGTTATGAGGGCATGGATGAGAATTTCGGTGGCGGCAGAGGACAGGGAGGGTCGGAGGCGTGCAATGTTCCTGAGGTGAAAGAAGGCAGTCTTGGTGATGTGGTTGGCGTGGGGTAGAAAAGAGAGGGTGGGGTCGAGGATGATACCAAGGTTGCGGACCTGGGTGGAGGGGGTGACAATGGAGCCATCAATGTTTAGGGAGAAGGGCTGGGCTGAACGGGTGAGGGAGTTAGGGCCGATGATGAGTATTTCAGATTTGTTGCAGTTGAGTTTGAGAAAGTTCTGTTGCATCCATGATTTTATATCAGTGAGACAGGTGGTGAGAGTGGAGTGGGTGACGGAGGTGATGGTCTTGGTGGAGAAGTAGAGTTGGGTGTCGTCAGCTTAGCAGTGAAAGTTGAGACCATGACGACGGATGATTTGTCCAAGGGGAAGGATGTAAATGATGAAGAGGAGGGGACCAAGCACGGAACCTTGGGGGACACCGTGGGTGACTGGGGAGGTAGAGGATTTACAGTTGTTTATTGCAATGAATTGATGTCGGTCTGAGAGATATGAGGTGAACCAGGAGAGGGCAGTGCCAGTTATGCCAAGGGAGTACTGGAGACGTGAGAGGAGGATGGAGTGGTTGATAGTGTCGAAGGTGGCGCTGAGGTCAAGGAGGATGAGGATGGTGAGGAAGCCAGAGTCAGCAGAGAGAAGTATGTCATTTGTGACTTTCAGTAGGGCGGTTTCAGTGCTGTGTTTTGAACGGAAGCCGGATTGGAAGGGTTCGTAGAGATTATGGAGATTGAGGTGGGACTTGAGTTGTGATGCAACAGCTCTCTCAAGGACTTTGGACAGAATAAATATCCTGAACAATAAAACACTGCACATATTAATGTTGGGAAACAGAAAGTATATAATAAACATGTTAAAATGTGTTGAAGATCTACAGTATTGAGATATTTAGAGTTTGAGTATTTTATATTTGTTATTTCTGGCCAAAGAGAAGATCTGAATCTGTAGGTGAACTCAACTTTTCTCTCCAATGTGACCCGACTAGCGATGACTTCATGAGTCTATATCTGTCGCACACAGCGAGGACTCACTGAGGCAGGTGTTGTGAGTGAAGTCCCGGTGGAAGGCGTCACACCGGCCCTCCTGATTGGCCGTTCCCCTGCAGGTGCACCACAGGCTCATGGTGATGTTGGACGGACTGCTGTCGCTGTAGTTGGGCGTCACGTCAGAGCCTGAGATAGAAAGAGAGAGAGGGAGTTCATGAAGGGGAGGAATGGGAAGTAGGAGGCAGATTAGTCAGGAAGAAAGCGAAAGAGGATTTTGGAAAATTGGGATTTGAATCAGTGTATGATTTCCAGCGAGGAAGTGAGTCACCTGCAGTGTTTCTCCAACAAAAGGCGACTGTAAATCCTCTCAAAATAACAACCGTAAAGGAAAAAGAAGACTGAGGTTTGGTGGAATTATCAGAACACAAAAGTCCCCTTTGTTCCTAAAATATGATGAAATATGCTCATTAAACAGGAAACAGGGTTTACAGCCACGTCCTAATAAACAATAACACAATAAATAAAATGAGAAGTCACCGATGAGGCCAACGTAGGACATCAGGCAGCCGTGATAGTTATCGTGAGGACAGCTGGTGACGCTGTGAGACGTCATCTGGCAGTTCATGTGGAAGTCAGCGAGCCGAGACCTGAAGAAGAAGAAGATGAAGAAAAAGAAGAAGAAGAAGAAAAAGAAGAAGAAGAAGAAGAAGAAGAAGAAGAAGAGGATGTAAAGGAAGAAGAAGATGAAGAAAAAGAAGAAGAAGAAGAAGAAGAGGATTTAAAGGAAGAAGATGATGAAGAAAAAGAAGATGAAGAAGAAAAAGAAGAAGAAGAAGCAGAAGAAGAGGAAGAAAAAGAAAAAGAAGATGAAGAAGAAGAAGAGGATTGTTACGTTCCCCTTTTAGGCATCTAAGGGATGCGGGGAGTAACGGTGTTAATTTACCCGGGGGAAGAGAGAGCGAGAGCACTGCGAAGGGTTTTAACAAAGGATAGTTTATTGGAAATAAGCCCGCGGCAAAAGAAAACTACCCTCTGATAGTCAGAGGGCGACTCAAAGTGATAATGACACCAACACGATGGCGACAACAGCCCACACGGCTGTACCCGGAGGGATCCACGGCACCACTCTCTGCGGCTTGGTTGCGGCTTCTGCCCCAGAAGAAAGCTGTCCTTCCGGAGCTCCTCTCCTTTTAACCACGTCTCCGATCATTGATTGGGCGCAGCTGGCCTCTAGTAATGGGCGGCACCCGAGAGGACACTGCGTGTAATCAGAGAGAGCACAACAACAACACACGGCACGTAACAAGGATGTAAAGGAAGAAGAAGATGAAGAAAAAGAAGAAGCAGAAGAAGAAGCAGAAGAAGAAGAAGAAGAAAAATAAAAAGAAGATGAAGAAGAAGAAGAGGATGTAAAGGAAGAAGAAGATTAAGAAAAAGAAGATGAAAAAGAAGAAGAAGAAAAAGAAGAAGAGGATGTAAAGGAAGAAGATGAAGAAAAAGAAGAAGAAGCAGAAGCAGAAGAAGAAGAATAAGAAGAAGCAGAAGAAGAAGAAGAAGAAGCAGAAGAAGAAGAAAAAGAAAAAGAGGATGAAGAAGAAGAGGATGTAAAGGAAGAAGAAGATGAAGAAAAAGAAGATGAAGAAGAAGAAGAAGAAAAAGAAGAAGAAGAGGATGTAAAGGAAGAAGAAGCAGAAGAAGAAGCAGAAGAAGAAGAAAAAGAAAGAGGATGAGGAAGAAGAAGAGGATGTAAAGGAAGAAGAAGATGAAGAAAAAGAAGATGAAGAAGAAGAAGAAGAAGAGGATGCAAAGGAAGAAGAGGATGTAAAGGAAGAAGAAGATGAAGAAGAAGATGAAGAAAAAGAAGAAGAAGAAGAAGAAGAAGCAGAAGAAGAAGAAGAAGAAGAAGAACAAGAAGCAGAAGAAGAAGAAGAAGACTGTTACAGAGACGACTAGGAGGAGGAAGGTGAAGGACGTCGTATGGTCCGATCAGCAGGGTGTTGAGAACATGTCATCATCTGTGTGTGTGTGTGTGTGTGTGTGTGTGTGTGTGTGTGTGTGAGTGAATGTGTGTGAATGCATGACACAAACACAACTCACACACGGGTCACTGAGAAAGTGTTTGTGTTCTCTCGTCTGTCAGCTGCAGGAAATGATGTAGTTTGACAGATCTGAGTGCTGTGCTTTTGACTTTCACACAGAGGTCACTGTGTGTGTGTGTGAGTGTGTGTGAGTGCGTGTGTGTGAGTGCGTCTCACTGTGTGTGTGTTGTCCTGCTCAAGTAACCCTGCCAACGTTGTCAGCTCGAGACAAAAGACACAACCATAGTCCACGCTGACACACACACACTTTCCTCCAGTCTCGTTCTCACTTTCTGTCTCTGTGTGAGAGACACACACACACTCTCTCTCTCTCTCTCTCTCACACACACACACACACACACACACACACACACACACCTCCACCCGTCAGGATCTTGAATCCATCAACCATGAATCTATAAAAGATATGAACAAGACATTATCTCTTTATATCATTATGTATCTTTATATTATTATTATATGGAATGATATTATGAAGGTACATAATCCCATCTTCTCTTTGTGTTTATGTATCACAGAGTCAGACCCAGGTCCTACAGCAGGGGTCCCCAACTGGCGGAACGCGGTCCGGATCCGGACCCAGACGCAGTTGCATCCGGACCCAGGACCTAAAATCGATAGCTCGGAATCATACATATTAGGCAGCGAGATTGTACCTGAACCGGCGCATCTTATTTAGCTGTTACGGCACTTGTTCGGCGGTGCAGGACACACCGACCAATGCGTAAATCACATCACGTGATACAGCTCAGCCAATCAAATGTGAGTATTCTGACAAGTTTCCTGACTTGAGTGAGATGAGATGTACACACACCGTGACACACGGGGCTGAGACGAGGAAATAGAAACAAGAGCAGGAAAATTGCGCTAATCAGAGATTATCTCACATGACGTTCTCCAAAAAGAGGAACGTGTTCAGAGAGAATATAATTCATAAGCAAGAATGAACAGACTCTTATATGTTAATTCTTCCCACAGGCAGTTAAAACCAGCGTGTCTCATATGTTCAGAAATCGTAACTATTGATAAAAGCGGCAAATGAAGCGCACTACAAGACAAAGCACAACTCTTTGAACAAACGTTCCCACTCACATCTAAATGAAGACACAGAAAATAAACCTAAGAGCCAAATATGATCAGAATCCTAACTCATGAGTTCACTGTTCAGTGATGTTCACAGAGAGAATAGAGCTGAAACAAGTGTTAATAACCACAGATAAAGTCCATGCTCACTGATTTATCTTTTTAGATGATGAGAAAAATATAATATTGTGGCTTTTTGATTGACATCACTTCACACCTGAATGAACTGAATTTAAAGCTGCAAAACAATTCAGTGAAATAAATTTTTCTAAAATGAATTACTTTATTTTAAGATGCACATTAAAAAGCTTTCTTTATGTCCAGACCTTATTGTACTTGAAATGAGAAGAACATTTATTTATGTATTTCTATGTATTATTTATAATCCATCCAGTTAAATGTGAAAACTGAGAAAAATAATTGTTAAAATATATGTGCGGAATCAGGCTAAAGGGACACAAAAGCGTATACTTATAGTTTAAAGGATGAAATCTATTAATCATTTTAAAAGCAAGTGTGTATTACATAAGGATGAAGTGATTTAACAAATGTAAACTGATAATAATAATGTATGTGTAGAAACCTGAGTAAAGTGAAGTCTGTGTGTGTAGTAAGAGCTGATGTAAGGGGAACTGGGTGGGGGCCTTAACATCTGAGGTCATAACAGATGTTGGGTGTGTATGCACAGATGTAACCGGACACACACTCGGAGAATTGAGGAAGAAAGAGCACACACACAGGAAAGTTTGGGTGGTTTCCGAACCCATATATGAAATCAATGATGTCATGATAATCATGTGCCGAGTTAGGGAGTGTTGGGGAGTGGGGGGAGAGACAGCCCAAAAGTGTTATAAAAAGAGAGACTTGCAAACAGCAAGGCGGGATTCATCGCGGGAGCCAGCCAAGTGCTCCACGGAGAAACACTGGATCTCGTTCGACAGCAGCATCGGAGGACTTCGTCTCTGTTCACGGAAAGGAGACAGCCGTTCGTGAACGAAGATCCAAAGACGGAGATTTTCCTCTCCCCCCTGTTTGACATTAACAACCGGACAACGGATAGACACGGCCGCCCTAAAGACTTTGTACTGAGCCTGAAGGATCACTGAACGGACTTCGTTGGCCGCGCAGGAGGAGCCGAAGGTTCGGCCGGAACTTTGCTTCTGAAAACCCCCAAAAGGATTTATCACATCGTCAATCCGGCTCCGCCGAGCCGCCTCGGCATCGAAAATTAATGAGTATTATCTAAGAAGAAATTGTAAATGAATCGAATTGAGTATAGTATTATTTTATGTGAGCTGTTGCTGTGCCCCTGCTAAATATATCCTGCAATAAATATCTAATCTGCATTTAAAGTAAATTTCTCAAGAGAATTCATTTGCTTAGGTAGTAAAAGTTCCTCGTGGCAGTAAAAGGTTAAATCTAATGTATGTTTAACAACAGAGTTCTGAATGGTTATCCTAATGACCGGTCCACTTAACAGCCCCTTACGGTTTTAGTAAATTCCTAGCCATTAAAATCTAACCTGGCAATTTACCAAGAGCCTGGATCCAGAAGAGGAAAGCTGCCATAACTGACGCGACTGGTAAAAGCGCCCGGCCAGGGTGGCCCCTCGGCTGAGTGTACGTTACCGGAGGAAGCAGGGTAGACGTAGGAGTAACGGTAGTGAGCAGAGCCAGGCGAGTTTCCTCACAGAACACCAGCTCGCCAATCTTTTAATAGAGAGCTGAGTAAGTAGTTAGCCCCGTATCGGGCCCGTAAAACCCCCGGATCTAACACGTGGTGCCCGAACTTGACGGAAAAGGAGTACATTGAGTCCAAGAAGAATCCCGGCGGCCGAGAGAGGCTGCTGTGTAAAACTGTGAGACTTGTGTAAAAAGTAATCCTGCCCAAGCCTCAGTGAAGTTCGACTGCGAGACATCCGACGCATCGAAGCTGTGTGTGGTAGATACAAGCCAGCACAGGAGAAGCCGCAGACGTCGGCGGAGCATCGACCAGACTCATCCGACACTGCAGAGGGGCCAGAGCCTGATCCCATCCCTTACTCAACGGCCAACGAGAGGCTTTGGGAGGAAGGCAACTCGAGACAACAAAGACAAAGACAAAGTCCAAGATGGAAGAGCAGCCGAACGGACCAGGCGGTTCAGGAACCAGCCCGGAGCCGGGGGCGACCCCTCGGATCGAGCCAGCGGACCAGCCACCGGACGGCAGCGGCGACCAGGAGGAGGACGAGCAAGAAGACACCGGATAAAGACACAGAAGAAGGCAACGTCCGGCATCAGGTCATCCTGCTTGGGAGAGGATGGGCCACCTGGGACGACTCCGTCCAACAACACCTACTCGAGCTTCATCCAGAAGAGGATAGGGCGTCGGTTGGAGGACAAGTAGAACGGCAGTGCAATCCGACTCCGACCCATCTCCACACCGGACCCGAAAAAGGAGGCAGAGGAACGGGGGAGCTATCGAGA